ATTCAGAAGACACAGCGCTCCGCACCGTCTGGATAACAGCAGACTGACTGCTCGTAAAATATACGACAGGTCTGGACCACTCATGAATTTTGTTTGTATCTGAAAAAAATCTTAGAATATGAAAACATTGGTGAATTCCACAAATTCTCCTAAATCACTCGTACGCACAATTTAAGAACAAATCTGTGCGTATGAACGGTTCTTGCATGAGGCCCATTGTGTGGTTTCAAAAACAGAAGAACTCGTGATTTTCCTCACAACTTTAGTTTTGAGATGTAGGTCTCTCCTACACACACATGTAGATTTGCACACTATAAGACTATAAAAACTTATATTTTATCAGTTTATGAAATGTCCCATGAGCCTTTGCTGCCTGAGCTTATTGCACAGGCTATAAAAACAGAAAAAATAAAATAAAAAAGCATGGGCCACCACACTGGCTGCTAGCTTAATCATTAAAATAAAATGAACTTTACTTAGGAAGTATTTGCATTTCATGGATTATATTATTAAATTCAGCCCGCAGCCCTCAGATAGATTTTTATATTGACCTTCTTGGGGTAACAGTTTGGGCACCCCTGCTGTAGAAATAAACGGAAGTCAATGCAAAGTCCCCAAAAAGACTCAGTTATCTTTAAAACAAAATGCAAATAATTAGTAACAATGAAGTGTTTTTATAGCAGGTGATCACTGGTGAACATGATTTCTAAAGACGGTTATGTTTCTACATCTCTTTCTTCTCAGTGCCACAACGCAGAGCAGCTGTACGTCTGGCTGCTCCACTTCATCGCCAACAACTACCTGATCTTTAGTCATAAACCCGACTTCCTGGAGCTCTCAGGTCAGTGTGAACAGTGTGTTGTGAATGACTCTCAGCTACTACCACATCAGATTTTAGCTCCAAACTTGGGTTTTAACCAATAATATTTCCATCAGAGCAATCAGCAAAGTATTGTTTATAAATATAAAAAGTAAATGGCTAAAATCTGAGTGTTTGTGTATYGGAGTCCCCTAATCTTTTAGACATCTGTGAGAACTTCTATCTTATGAAACTCTACAGTAGGCATTTCTGTTTCAGACTGCAGCTTAGCTCTTCAGTTTGTTTAATACTCTCCATTTACAGTACGCGTCTATGGTTTGTGCATTTAAGCAACAAAAAGCAGAAAAAAAGAAAGGCTAATTTCAAAGATTAACAGCCACGTTACGTTGCAGAAACACATTTTATTGTYGTCATCAGTCACACAGGACTCATTTACGGCCATTGGACGGGTACTGAAGGGCACACGCTCGCCGCTGCTTGTTTTAGTGCAAACAAACTCTTTGATATTTCATCTCTTTTGGCTGCGCACACGGCAGCGAGCTAAGCGGTTACAAGTGTTTTGAGGCGCGGCGAGCGTGTGCCAAGCACAGTAAATCTCTGTGCAGTGTTTTTTTTTATTTTTTACCATCAGCTGAGCATCAGGGAAGGTTRCATGTGCAGCAGTGTGAGGGTTAACGGCCGCACGTCTTTTGTTCCAGAGGATGAGCGCGAGCAGGTGGAGAGGCTCCGCTGGCCGTCCAGGGGATACCTGCAGGAGCTCAGCGAGTACCAGCAGCGCCGGCGCAAACTACGCAAGTCTCGCTGCTTAGTCATGTGACCACACCTGCAGGCCCTGCGGAAAGAGGGAGGGGGATTGACAAGAAAAGGAAGAGGACGGGTCGTCAAAAAAAATGTGGAGAATCGCTCTGGATTAGTTTGACTTTGTGCAACAAGAAGGAGTAGCAGACAAATCAAATGTGTGCAGCGTCTCTTCAGAGAAAAAGACTCTTTGTGTAAAAACTACTTCACTTTGGGCAATACTGACTGATCAATCCTTTAAACCCAATTATGATTTGAAGCCGACCGTCTGGCCTCTGATCAGAGGCTCTGTGATAGATTATATTTCTACTGGCGGATGCAAGACAGTCAACAGGGACACATCAATAAGTAAAACTAACATCAGCTTTCCAAACATGTTGAAAACAAACCAGCATTGTGTGCAAGTTGTTTCAAACAACCGTGACACTTTATAAGAACAACACCCTTATTTAGCCTTACTTAATCATTAATAAATGTTAGTTAACCTTGAAATCATTGATTAAGAATTCATACTTAATAAGCTCTAAATTAACACTTATTAATGCTTTACCCATAAAGKCTWATTACTTCCAAAACCAACATATTCATTGYTTATTCATGCTTAATAACACGTGAATTACCTGTTGTGWATATGTATATAAATACTCATAAATGTACTTTCAAACCATGTTACGTAATCC